TTATATATTATTACTATATATATATATATATATATATATACATATATATATATGTATATATATATATGTATATATATATATGTATATATATATATAAATAATATATATATATATATATATACATACATATTTGTGCGCATGTGACATACATTGTTTTAGAATTGGAGTGGAGAGCTTGTCTGATTTGAAGGCCTTCTCCACGCCATGTGCAGTGATCATGGCCACCATAGTTGTATGACTTATATTTGTAGCTTGTTCCCGTGTTGATAAATAAGTTGATATGATTGTTTTAGCCACTGTCGCTTTAGTTGGCTTACAAAAAATTGGAACAGCTATGTCATGTATCAAACTGGTTGCGTACTATGAGCAATTATGTTTCTATACCTTAGATTGTGTATTGTTTTACTATATGTACTATTGCTATCCACATACGAACAATCCAATACAAATATTAAAGATAGCCTTCTCAACAAGATGTCGTATTAGAGTAGAATTCTAAGGCCCTACCAACAGATGACACAAAAAAAATTATAAAATAGAGAAGAACCAAAATTTGGCTTTTCGAGAGGCCGCTGAATGGATGAGAAGCCCGCCAGATACAAATGGGCGGCAAATATCTATAAATAGATCTATCAATAGAATTGGTTTTATTTTAAGCTCAAGATTCGCATGGCCCTCCCAGCTCCCCAGTCCCCGGACTGGAGACTCCGTTCTGATATGAGAAATGAAGAACACCTTTTAGTTATATTTAATTTTTTTTTAAGTGATCATGAATATTTATTTTTGAAATATTACGTTTGTAATTTCAACAGTCTGACATCACATGTATTGATATATCCATAAATATCAGAGCCTCGTAAAGAACATAGATATATGTACATAGCTTTATTATTTATATATATATAAATAAGTGTACATAGTATATGTACATATAAAAGCGAGCAATTTGAACACATTAAAATATACGCACCAGCCAGGCTTTGATAGTTCATCAGTGTAGTACAATATGGCGGATTCCTTGCCCAAAGAACAGCTTGATGTGCTCACTAATGTGTATCATCTGACCACAAAGAAGCAGCTATCGGACGTAGCGAAGAAACCGAAGACAGTGGAGAAACTGGTCGATATTAGCAAAGTGGTGTGTGTGCGACCACATTCGTGTTGCGATATTTTTTTATCAATATTGTTATTTGGAGTTTATTTTTATGTATTTCGATACATATTCATGTCCATTTGGATATGTATTGATGAGTATTTATATCATTTAACTTGTAAAAATGTTTACATACACTTATTTATCATTTAACTTGTATAAATGTTTACATACACTTATTTTACACCACGTAATGTTATGGGTATGTTGTGAGTGTGTTTTCACAAACAACTCACTATATCATATATATATATATATATTTATATATATATATATATATTTATATATATATATATATATATATATATGTAGATATATATAATAATAGTATATATATATATATATATATATATATATGTGTGTGTGTGTATCTGTGTCTGCGTGTCTGTGTGTGTACATTTGTGTTTGCGTGTGTATGTGTGTGTCTGTATGTATGTAT